TTTAGTGTAATCAAAACATGTTGTCATGCTAAGCACCCACACACATAGTATATTCCAGGCTAGCTTTAACAATTGAACCATTATATATTTTTACAGACTTCTAAATATCAAAGCAAGAACAAATACAAGATAACATATTCTTCTTGTTGGGAAAATAAGAAAGAACATAACTTTACTCTTTTGTTGATAAGAATTTCATATGCGTTTGAATTGATAAGAATTTGGGTACTAAATACCCAAATTCTGGTTGAAGATTTAAAAGAATAGGAAGGAGACACAGAATTGGTAAGAATTACGAGGAAGGAGACACAGAAGAGACACGCAAAGGGAGAAGAAGAGGGAAGAAATACCTGGATAGTGGAAAAGATTTCTTGCAGGAACAATAGTCCAATAATTTCTTCACTCCTTATTAATAGGTGAGGAAGACGGTGTCGTGTGGCGGTGGAAGAGGCCGTGGGTCGGTGACGGTGTAGAATTTGCGAGAAGGTGAGGACAAAGGGTATTTTCTGCGGTGCTGTGAAATTTGGAAGACAAAATAGGAATAGTGTAAACTGACGGGGAAAAATGCTATTTGACGGAACATTGACGGAAAAAGGACTGAAATAAACTTAGTTGCGCATTATTATGCCTTATTATTATAAGGAGTATATAATAAGGGGGGATATATATATAAAACAAGAATAAAATCTAACTTTTGGATCTGATGCATCGTACGGCTCAGATTGCATCATGCACTCAGATTTTGAGATAGTGCATTTTTAAGGGATTTTGGTGCATTTCGACATGATGCATTTTCAAACCATTTTGGTGCACCTAATTTTGATGCAATCTTGACCCTTAGATCCTACAATCTAAAACACTGGATTCATTCTTATTTCTTTCATAAGATCGCATTCTCACATGAACATATATATATATATATATATATATATATATATATATATATATATATATATATATATATATATATATGGGGTTGACTCCAGTGAGATGACACCTTACGGTTAGATGACATGCTACGGTCAGATGACGCAAAACTCACCACTGGTCACTGCAAAGCTTACCAATGACCAATGTAAAGCTCACCAAAGTGTAAGGCAAAACTCACCATATTTTTTCAACACTTTGAATTTTTTTCCAAAAAATAAAAAAGCTCACCACATTACACTGCAAAGCTCACCAATGGCCAATGTAAAGCTCACCTGGAAATAAGGCAAAGCTCACCACTTTGAACCATAGTTTTGAGAACCGGACCGGTGACCGAACCGGTCAAGGTACTGGTTCACTGGTCGAACCAGTGGTTCAACTGGTCGAACCGGTGGTTTAAACATATTTAAAAATTATATAAATATAAATAAATATATATATATATATATATATACACACACACACACACATTCTCATATATAAATACATAAAGAAAGTAATTTATAATATTTGACTAAAATTATACTCGTATTAATATACTTGAGTTATTTTACTAAATTAAAAGAAAAAATTTACATATTAAAAAATATTATTAAAATTTTATTTAAAAAAATATCAATGATTTTGTGTTTAACTCATAGCTATTTAAATACTACGCATTATATTTTTAAAATTGAAAAGGGATTTTTATGAAATCTTTTTATTAATTATGAAATACTATAAAAGATTATACAAATCTAAAACAACAAGCACTGTTAGTTGGGTGGTTAGGAACTCAACCAATTAGCGAAGGGGTCTTGGGTTCGAACCCCCATGGAGTGAAGTTTTGGAAAATTTGCAAAAAAAAAAATGGTCTGACCGGTCCGACCGGCCGGTTCTTACCGGTTCAAGCCGGTTCAGACCGGTTTGAAGCTCATTACGGTCCATTGGCCCGGACCGGACCGGTTGGACCACTGGTTCGCCGGTTCACGGTCTGAACCGGCCGGTCCGGTCTGGTTTTTAAAACTATGCATTGAACACCAAAACTCACCTTTTTTTATTTTGAAAATTAAAAAATTAATAAAAAATAAAATAGCAACACCGGTCAACCACCGGTCAGTTGCGGCGACGCTGCGGAGACAAAAAAAAAATGGTCTGACCGGTCCGACCGGACGGTTCTTACCGGTTCAAGCCGGTTCAGACCAGTTTGAAGCTCATTACGGTCCATTGGCCCGGACCGGACCGATTGGACCACCGGTTTGCCGGTTCACGGTCCGAACCGGCCGGTCCGGTCTGGTTTTTAAAACTATGCTTTGAACACCAAAACTCACCTTTTTTTATTTTGAAAATTAAAAAATTAATAAAAAATAAAATAGCAACACCGGTCAACCACCGGTCAGTTGCGGCGGCGCGGCGGAGACCGGCGTCGGCGGAGGTTGTCGCCGGCGACCAGCAACGGAGGTCGGCGGCGCGGCGGCGGAGGTGGTCGCCGGCGGCGGAGGCGGCGGCGGCCAACGGTCGGCGGTGGTCAAAGTCCAGTCAGCTTTTCCTTTGATGATGGTCAACGGTCAATAGTCAAAGTCCAGTCAACACCACTTCCTTTGATTTTTTTTTCAAAAAAAATTCAAAGTGTTGAAAAAATATGGTGAGCTTTGCCTTAGAGTTTGGTGAGCTTTGTAGTTGTCTTTAGTGAGCTTTGCAGTGGCCAGTGGTGAGCTTTACGTCATCTGACCGTAGCATGTCATCTCACCGTAAGTTGTCATCTGACTTGAGTCAATCCCTATATATATATATATATATATATATATATATATATATATATATTAATTTTTTGTTACATATGCCAAAATAGGACTTCTAATATCTTTATACAAAAATAATACTTGTAATGTCCAAATCCCAACTTTTTTTTTGTTAAAGAGAATTTTTATTAAAAAGAAGAAAAGAAAAAAAAAGGGGTTGCTCAGGCCCAAACAAAAGAGCCAAACAGAAAAACATCTAAAACAACAGTGGTACACCAAGAAACAAATAAAAGAAAAAGAATCCATGAACGTAGAAACATCTAAAAGAAAGGCCAAAGCTTAGTCCAATCAAATTCAGCTGGTCACATTAAGGCATCTCTACCCAAAAGTGAGCTGGACTAAAGGGGAGCAGATGGCAACAATTACTGATCCTTGAAGCATGGTATTCACCCAACTTTCAAGCGTAATCAGCTGTACCAGAAGCCTCCAAAGTAAGGAATATATATATATATATATATATATATATATATATATATATATATATATATATATATATATATATATATATATATATATATATACACACACACACACACATATATATACATATATACTCCCCCCGTTTGTGGTTCCCCTTGTAGAGATGGTCACAGGGTTGATTGGCGAACCACACCACCCGGGTTAGATCTTCAGAAGGGGCAACTTTGGGGAAATTTTAAAGGAGTTAAGCGTGCTGGACATGGAGTAGCAGAAATGATGAGTAACCCTGGGAAGTGTTTGCAGATTTATGGGGTTGGGCTTTAGATTGTGATATTTATAGTGGGCTATCTGCCTCAGGTGTTTAACGGGCCCCGAGGCGGTCACGAGGTTAACATGCCTCGGCCCCTTGCTTGTAATTGACCGTTTCAATAATATTAATAAAAAAATTAAAAAAAAATTATACTCCCCCCATCCAAAAAAAGGTTACGTTTCATTTTTTGTTTATCTCATAAAACACTTCTGTATCGTCTTAAACTTAAAAAAACTTTCAACACCAGTCAGCTTTTCCTTTGATGATGGTCAACGGACAATAGTCAAAGTCCAGTCAACACCACTTCCTTTGATTTTTTTCCAAAAAAAATTCAAAGTGTTGAAAAAATATGGTGAGCTTTGCCTTAGAGTTTGGTGACCTTTGTAGTTGTCCTTGGTGAGCTTTGCAGTGGCCAGTGGTGAGCTTTACGTCATCTGACCGTAGCATGTCATCTCACCGTAAGGTGTCATCTGACTGGAGTCAATCCCTATATATATATATATATATATATATATATATATATATATATATATATATTATTTTGTTACATATGCCAAAATATGACTTCTAATATCTTTATACAAAAATAATACTTGTAATGTCCAAATCCCAACTTTTTTTTGTTAAAGAGAATTTTTATTAAAAAGAAGAAAAGAAAAAAAAAAGGGTTGCTCAGGCCCAAACAAAAGAGCCAAACAGAAAAAACATCTAAAACAACAGTGGTACACCAAGAAACAAATAAAAGAAAAAGAATCCATGAACGTAGAAACATCTAAAAGAAAGGCCAAAGCTAAGTCCAATCAAACTCAGCTGGTCACATTAAGGCATCTCTACCCAAAAGTGAGCTGGACTAAAGGGGAGCAGATGGCAACAATTACTGATCCTTGAAGCATGGTATTCACCCAACTTCCAAGCGTAATCAGCTGTACCAGAAGCCTCCAAAGGAAAGAATATATATATATATATATATATATATATATATATATATATATATACCTTGTATGATTTTCATCCCAAAAGGATGGTTTGGATGCTGGGTACTGGCTTCTTAATACACTATACAAATTTACCACGGACGGATCCATACCTTGTCCTGTCAAGACAGAACACAACCGCTCACTCTTCATTCGATTTAGAGCCAGCCCCAAAGGATCTTCTCTTCAACTTACAGAAAGGAGACAAGACGGGCGGAGTATGATTTTCATCCCAGAAGGCCAACAAGGTTATGGTTTTACATCCTTCAACTCCAGATTGGAGCTAGTACTTAAACACCTCTCTAGGGCTACCCCCCTCCTGCACCCTTCATTGATAGGGCCTTCATTTGTGCTTTTTCAACCCCAACTCCCACTGATACCTCTATGTACATTTCCTCCACTTTATTCAAGTTGGAAGTTTGCCCCCAAGAGGAAAAAACCATACCCCCCTTCTCCAGAATCCCCCTCGCAAGGCCTTCCCTTCTTTCTGCTAAAGCCAAAGAATTTGTTCCTATAACACACTTCACCTCGCCACCGGCTCCCATCTTATGTCCAGCAGCTCCAATAGCCTCAAGACTCACTTTTTTGGGATTTCATCTTCTGACACTGAAAGAGATAACACTTGGGACATCTCTAAAGCCTATGAATCTGATCAGGAGCAACAATATTGTTCAGGGAAAGGCCCTTTTCCAATAGATGATGCCTCAGAATGGGAAACTGATAGAGAATCAGATGAAGAGGAGAGTAAAAGGGGTTCGCATGCAAAGAAAAAGTCTATCAAAAAAAGAAACCAAGAAAGATTTGAAAAACTTATAAGCCACATTCAAGGAGGGGTTGTTAGCAAACCTAGAAGGAGCAGGAGACTTGCTAAGCTCAGGAACGAACTCATTGATGAAAGGAACCTAGAGTCTTTGAACTTGGGTTGTGTTTAGCACTTCCAGGCATGGCATAGATTCAACTCTCCAAGCAGCTACATGTTAGAATAATAAACCAACGCTAGAGGGGGGGGGTGAATAGCGTTTGATCGGAGAAATCGAAGGAATTAAAAAATTAAAAGAGAAGTAAAGAGAAGAGTAAGAGGCACACCGAATTTTACCCTGGTTCACCACAACTTGTGGCTAATCCAGCCTCCCGAGAGACTCTCTCGAGCTACACTACTATCTCGTTAAGCTTACGGGTGCTTAACAAACCGTTACAACTTGAGAGTTCGAGTCACACGAACCTCAACGAATCCTTCAAAGGAAACAGACCTTCCTTTGAATCAACCGAGAGAGATACTATCTCTCAACGTGTCTAAGAACACAAGTACACTCAAGAACGAGACTCTCTTATAGAGTAGATTATGAGTAAACTAAGTACGCTCAAGAACAACTCAACCTTCACACAAAAATGGCTCTAGAAAGCTAAGGAAAATGATGATGTTTGAATGCAATGAAAGTATAGATGTTGTGAAGTGAATTGGTGAGGAAAGCAGACCCAAACACCCCTTTTTATAGTGCCAAA